ATAGGTACCTGGGTGTTAGTCAGCTGCCACGGGCTGCTTCCTGGGGGTGGAGACCTGGTCGAGGACCGGGCCGCGGCGACACTAAGCCCCGAAATCATCTCAAGATAATCTATGTCCATGGAGAGGTTTGATTACTTTAGGATAAGGTTTGATTAGGTTAGGTTTCATTATGGTGTGTTATTGATGATAATGTGAAATATGGAATTCGAAAAGTATTTCAGTGTACCCTAGAATTCCATTTGGCAACGTCCTAAGATGGCCCTCTTTAACCATCCTGGCAGCTTCCTAACACAGTGCCAGGATGGCCCATCTCCAGCCATCCTGGCAGCTTCCTAACACGGCGCCAGGATGGCCCATCTCCAGCCATCCTGGCAGCTTCCTAACACAGTGCCAGGATGGCCCACTTCAGCCATCCTGGCCGCTAACCACAAAGTTTCCTTGTTAAGCGAGCACCCGCTGAAGAATGACACAATTTCTCTCTCTTGAAACAAAAAAAAAAATGAGATACTGAAGCATCCGTGGAAAAAGCAACACATTTGTCTGTAACAGTGAACTGAGTGTCGACGTGTGTGTGTGTGTGTGTGTGTGTGTGTGTGTGTGTGTGTGTGTGTGTGTTGTGTGTGTGTGTGTGTGTGTGTGTGTGTGTGTGAGTGTGTGTGTGTGGGTTGTGTGTGTGTGTGTGTGTGTGTGTGTGTGTGTGTGTGTGTGTGTGTGTGTGTGTGTGTGTGTGTGTGTGTGTGTGTGTGTGTGTGAGTGTGTGTGTGTGTGTGTGTGTGTGAGTGTGAGCGTGTGTGTATTAATAGTATTTATTTACTATTTATGCCTGCAGAATCGAGCACTTAGCTCTTGGACCCCGCCAAGACGGCGGCTGAGTCCCGGGCCGGGCTTGGTGAGTAGAAGAACTCCCAGAACCCCGTCCAAATAAAATCCAGGTCCGGGTACTCCGCTCGTTATCTCTTTCCATTCTGATATCTCTCTCTCTCTTCTTACTCTGACTCTCTGATTTCCTCCTGGAAGGTACTCCTCCAGGCAACTTAGCAATATTCCAGAAATCCCAACCTGCTTACTTTGCTCGTAAAGAGCGGTCTTGAACCATTCCTGGCCATCCCATCTGTGACGGACAGTCCCCAGAGAGTAAGTAACTTTCTCCTCTCTCTCTCTCTTTCCCTCTCAGCCTTTCCATATACCCTGTCTCCCTGTCCCTGAGGGGATGGCAGTGGTGTTGGAGCCAAGCAATACAAATCAGGTCAGGGGAACTTCGCCACAGATATCACCACTACACAACACTGCTCCAATACTGTTCCAACACTGCTCCAACACTGCTCCAACACTGCTCCAACACTGTTCACTCCACCAAACATTTCACCCAAATTCTCCCCAACTAATTTCCTGTGTTTGGAAAGGTTACAAAAAATTATACTTGCGTAAATAGATGAAGTTTTCAGGTGAACTTTTTTTATTGTTTTAATTCACCGAGATACTTTTATTTTTTTTAGCAATGGCTGTAAATTGACTTATATAAATTAAATGCTTAGTTTATATATATATATTTAAGTTAAAGCGATCACAATCATTTTATCGAGCGTGGGGGCGCGTGTTATCTATTAGTGTTGGCAGTTATGATAGCTATAGCTCCTGGGGTCCGCCTCACAACTGTGTGTGGGGGGGGGGGGAGGAGGGGGCACACGTGTAAAATTGCTTCAGAATTTCCACTATCACTCTCATAGCTCTCCTTTAAGAGCTGTGTAATGTGTTTATCGCGGCCAGCTGAATGCTGCGGCGGCCAGGGAGGGAGAGAGGGAGGGAGAGAGGGAAAAAAGAGAGAGAGAGAGAGAGAGAGAGAGAGAGAGAGAGAGAGAGAGAGACAGAGAGACAGAGACAGAGAGAGACTTGAGGTGGTTATCTTGAGGTTATCTTGAGATGATTTCGGGGCTTTTTTTTTTTTTAGTGTCCCCGCGGCCCGGTCCTCGACCAGGCCTCCACCCCCAGGAAGCAGCCCGTGACAGCTGACTAACACCCAGGTACCTAATTTACTGCTAGGTAACAGGGGGCATAGGGTGAAAGAAACTCTGCCCATTGTTTCTCGCCGGCGCCTGGGATCGAACCCAGGACCACAGGATCACAAGTCCAGCGTGCTGTCCGCTCGGCCGACCGGCTCTCTTCACTGGCCACTCCGTAAAAAATCCAACCTTTTAGCTTAACCAGAAACCCCGCGAACCCTACCAACCCTAACCTAACCTATAAGACTCCGATGCATAGAAAACGTAGATATGTTCCTGTGAGCGCCTGGGTCACAAGAACAGATATTTTTGTAGGTTCCTAGACGGTTCTTGAAGACATTAACGACCCCCCCCCTAATTGCCCCCCTGTGAATGACTATCTAAAGTCTATTTATCTATCTATCTATCTGTTCGTGTCTATCTAAAGTTGTGAATTATTGCCATATTTAGGTCTTTTTTCTGAGTTTTTTTGGGGTTACTACGGTCGAAGCGGTTGGGCACTATTCCTCCTTCCCTCTGTTCTATCCCCGATTTCTCGATGTCGTATCCCAGATTCTGGTCCTCGTGTCCCAGATTCTGGTCCTCATATCCCAGATTCTGGTCCTCGTGTCCCAGCTTCTGGTCCTCATATCCCAGATCCTGGTCCTCGTGTCCCAGCTCCTGGTCCTCGTATCCCAGCTCCTGGTCCTCGTATCCCAGCTCCTGGTCCTCGTATCCCAGCTCCTGGTCCTCGTATCCCAGCTCCTGGTCCTCGTATCCCAGCTCCTGGTCCTCGTATCCCAGCTCCTGGTCCTCGTATCTCAGCTCCTGGTCCTCATATCCCAGCTCCTGGTCCTCGTATCCCAGCTCCTTGTCCTCGTATACCAGCTCTTAGTCCTCATATCCCAGCTCCTGGTCCTCATATACAAGCTCCTGGTCCTCGTATCCCAGCTCCTCGTCCTCGTATCTCAGCTCCTGGTCCTCGTATCCCAGCTCCTGGTCCTCGTATCCCAGCTCCTGGTCCTCGTATCCCAGCTCCTGGTCCTCGTATCCCAGCTCCTGGTCCTCGTATCCCAGCTCCTGGTCCTCGTATCCCAGCTCCTGGTCCTCGTATCCCAGCTCCTGGTCCTCGTATCCCAGCTCCTGGTCCTCGTATCCCAGCTCCTGGTCCTCGTATCCCAGCTCCTGGTCCTCGTATCCCAGCTCCTGGTCCTCGTATCCCAGCTCCTGGTCCTCGTATCCCAGCTCCTGGTCCTCGTATCCCAGCTCCTGGTCCTCGTATCCCAGCTCCCGTATGGTCCTCGTATCCCAGCTCCTGGTCCTCGTATCCCAGCTCCTGGTCCTCGTATCCCAGCTCCTGGTCCTCGTATCCCAGCTCCTGGTCCTCGTATCCCAGCTCCTGGTCCTCGTATCCCAGCTCCTGGTCCTCGTATCCCAGCTCCTGGTCCTTGTATCCCAGCTCCTGGTCCTCGTATCCCAGCTCCTGGTCCTCGTATCCCAGCTCCTGGTCCTCGTATCCCAGCTCCTGGTCCTCGTATCCCAGCTCCTGGTCCTCGTATCCCAGCTCCTGGTCCTCGTATCCCAGCTCCTGGTCCTCGTATCCCAGCTCCTGGTCCTCGTATCCCAGCTCCTGGTCCTCGTATCCCAGCTCCTGGTCCGTATCCCAGCTCCTGGTCCTCGTATCCCAGCTCCTGGTCCTCGTATCCCAGCTCCTGGTCCTCGTATCCCAGCTCCTGGTCCTCGTATCCCAGCTCCTGGTCCTCGTATCCCAGCTCCTGGTCCTCGTATCCCAGCTCCTGGTCCTCGTATCCCAGCTCCTGGTCCTCGTATCCCAGCTCCTGGTCCTCGTATCCCAGCTCCTGGTCCTCGTATCCCAGCTCGAGATAGAGACAGAGAGAGAGAGAGAGAGAGAGAGAGAGAGAGAGAGAGAGAGAGAGAGAGAGAGAGAGAGAGAGAGAGAGAGAGAGAGAGAGAGAGAGAGAGAGAGAGATAGAGAGAGAGAGAGAGAGAGAGAGAGAGAGAGAGAGAGAGAGAGAGAGAGAGAGAGAGAGAGAGAGAGAGAGAGAGAGAGAGATAGAGAGAGAGAGAGAGAGAGAGAGAGAGAGAGAGAGAGAGAGAGAGAGAGAGAGAGAGAGAGAGAGAGAGAGAGAGAGAGAGAGAGAGATAGAGAGAGAGAGAGGGAGAGAGATAGAGAGATAGAGAGACAGAGAGAGGGGAGGGAGTGAGGGAGTGAGGGGAGGCGACGCGGGGTGGCCCGTTGCCATGACGACAGACCTCACAACAAAATGTCTGGATACACGCACGCGCGCACGCACACACGCACACACACACACCTGGTGACTCCCAAACCTTCCCCTTCCACACCTGGTGACCTCCACACCCAAATGGGGTGTGGGCGATGGGGCTAGTTATATATATATGGTAGTTTCCTGCCACATATGACTATATGGCAGGAAATGCAGAATAGAGGCGACGAAGAGCAGAGGTGCCATAGGTACAGAGGTCACTGTCCTCCCACAGCACACGTAGAGAGACTGAAGGGGGGGGGACAAGGGAACAATAAGATAATAGACTTAATATTGACCAAGACGGACCAAAACGTCTTCGTCTCTCTCACTCTCCAGTGTGAAGTTTTGGTCCACATTGATAAGAGAACTCTGTGTATATGACTATATGACTATATAACTATATATCTCTTCCCAGTGTGACTATACAGCACTTGGAAGTGCCATCAGGCCAGTATAGGAGGTGTCATAAGGTGCCGAAGAGAGAGAGAGAACAGTGCCACATAACTTGGGACACTCGGGAATCGAACGCCATACCTGTAAGAAGCGAGGCTGTCACTCTACCGACCAGTCCAAGTTGCAACTTGAGTAGTTCCTCTAGGAAGTGTGGGATGAGCCGGGATGGTCCCAGACAGTTCTCAGTGATCCCATTCACAGGAATGGTCTAAATCAAACGAGGTCAAATGGGGTCAAAAGGAGACATGATCTCGCATACAAAATACTCCGCGACTTCCAGATTAAGTTATTACAAGATGAGCCTGGCCCCAGTCACAGCCTGGGTAGCACGCCCTCCACCAGTGACGTCAACATCAAACCAGCCAATCAGGAGCAAGATACAAGACTACTCACGCCCTCCACCAGTGACGTCAGCATAAACCCAGCCAATCAGGAGCAAGATACAAGACTACTCACACCCATCACCAGTGACGTCAGCATCAAACCAGCCAATCAGGAGCAAGATACAAGACTACTCACGCCCCCCATCCGTGACGTCAACATCAAACCAGCCAATCAGGAGCAAGATACAAGACTACTCACGCCCCCCATCAGTGACGTCAACACCAAGCCAGCCAATCAGAAGCAAGATACAAGACTACTCACGCCCCCCATCAGTGACGTCAACACCAAACCAGCCAATCAGAAGCAAGATACAAGACTACTCACGCCCTCCATCAGTGACGTCAACATCAAACCAGCCAATCAGGAGCAAGATACAAGACTACTCACGCCCTCCATCAGTGACGTCAACACCAAACCAGCCAATCAGAAGCAAGATACAAGACTACTCACGCCCCCCATCAGTGACGTCAACACCAAACCAGCCAATCAGAAGCAAGATACAAGACTACTCACGCCCTCCATCAGTGACGTCAACATCAAACCAGCCAATCAGGAGCAAGATACAAGACTACTCACGCCCCCCATCCGTGACGTCAACATCAACCCAGCCAATCAGAAGCAAGATACAAGACTACTCATACCTTCCATCAGTGACGTCAACATCAAACCAACCACTCAGGAGCACGATACAAGACTACTCACACCCTCCATCAGTGACGTCAGCATCAACCCAGCCAATCAGAAGCAAGATACAGACTACTCATACCTTCCATCAGTGACGTCAACATCAAACCAACCAATCAGGAGCAAGATACAAGACTACTCACACCCTCCATCAGTGACGTCAGCATCAACCCAGCCAATCAGAAGCAAGATACAAGACTACTCATACCTTCCATCAGTGACGTCAACATCAAACCAACCACTCAGGAGCAAGATACAAGACTACTCACACCCTCCATCAGTGACGTCAACAACAAACCAGCCAATCAGAAGCAAGATACAAGACTACTCACACCCTCCATCAGTGACGTCAACAACAAACCGGCCAATCAGGAGCAAGATACAAGACTACTCACATCCTCCATCAGTGACGTCAACATCAAACCAGCCAATCAGGAGCAAGATACAAGACTACTCACGCCCTCCACCAGTGACGTCAGCACCGCGAGCAGTCACATACCTGTAGAAGAAACGGAAATAATTAACCAGGAGTTTAAACAACAATAAAACCACAACAACTTGATATATCCATGATTTTTTATTTTTTGTTGGTTCTACCATGGGATCAAACCCTCGGATCTGATCAGACACATGCTTGGCTGAGAGCCGCAGGTTCGATACCATCCTACTGAAGCCTCACATCCTGGTTCAGCTGGTAATGCGTGTGTCCAGGTGGCTTAAATCCCCAACTAATTAAATAATTTTAATTACAAATAATAATTAATTTAGTCATGTACTTTCAATCACAGTGATATCAACATGATTCTGAAATATATATTTATAGAAAGTTCAACTGTAGTTGGGTTTGTTTAGTGTGATCGGCCAGGTTGTTGGTGCTGGCATGTTCCACTACAACCTGAACGATTTGGCCCTGTTGCTCTACAGAGCTCAGAGCATTGACAACGACGTAGAAAATACCAAGTCTACTCCTATCTTAAGTGTTCTTCACAACACCTGACAACACAGACAAACACAAACACTCACTCGCACCTGCCAGTAAGTATATAAGATTTATTATATAATATTATTATAATATTATTTTTTTGTTATGGGAGCAAAGATGGAGAGGCACAGGTTAAGGAAAAGTTATGAAATGTGGAATATAAGTTACTACAGCTGACGGGCTGTCCACCTTGCTGACACAAAGTTACTACAGCTGACGGACTGTCCGCCTTGCTGACACAAAGTTACTACAGCAGGCGGGCTGTCCACCTTGCTGACACGATACACAACTCTGTGACTCAGCTAAGCTTGATCTCTTCTGCCAGTTAGCTGTCAAGTGTCAGCAAGTGTCCTCACATGTATCACAACACATGTTGATATGTGTAAATTAGTTATTTGACCACATATTGGTCACAAACCCAGTGTCAAACTCATTCTCAAGTAGATAAAATCGACTTGAGAATGGTCCAGGACGGACCGAAACGTCGTCGTCGTCGTCCCTTCACCTTCTAGTGTGTGGTCTGGTCAACATACTTCAGCCACGTTATTGTGACTCATCGTCAACAACTAAGAGGTTTCAAGAACCAGGGCCAGGAATGTTGGACAGTTCCAGCACCTAATTACTAATCCCTAATACACTCGGATGTATTTCCTGTACTAGGCTTCATAATCATACAATACTCATTTACTAATCCTTAGTACAACAGGATATATTTCCTGTACTAGGCGCCATAATCATCCAATACTCATTTACTAATCCTTAGTACAACAGGATGTATTTCCTGTACTAGGCGCCATAATCATACAATACTCATTTACTAATCCTTAGTACAACAGGATGTATTTCCTGTACTAGGCTTCATAATCATCCAATACTCATTTACTAATCCTTAGTACAACAGGATGTATTTCCTGTACTAGGCTTCATAATCATACAATACTCCTTTACTAATCCTTAGTACAACAGGATGTATTTCCTGTACTAGGCGACATAATCATCCAATACTCATTTACTAATCCTTAGTACAACAGGATGTATTTCCTGTACTAGGCGACATAATCATCCAATACTCATTTACTAATCCTTAGTACAACAGGATGTATTTCCTGCACTAGGCAACATAATTAACTAGCACTAACTACTAATCCGTAGTTTAATGATACTGAATTCATTTCATTAGGATGTGGAGCGCCATATAATTTGTCCTAGAAATCGTGGAAATGTTCCATCAGTCAGCTAGCCACGGGGAATCATTTCATATATTAACAGATCGAGTAGAATCTAGCCTTATTTTGCCCCCTTTTTAATAAGGATAATCGCTTATTAATAGATTCATCTCTTAGTAAATCTATCATATTTTACTGGAATTAATTCATACAGCTACGATTAGCTGTACCAGTGAACAGAATTATAAACCGTATCTCCACTCTAAATCTTTTCTCGTTCATTTAATAGCGTCTAAATTAATTGACTGCATTACGAGAAAATAATTGTTGCACCATAATACATTTATTTATGACGTAAATATTCGTCATAACGAATTTCCTTCCATAGTATTATACTCGGGATCCCTGCTTTGGGAGCTATTGCGCATGCGCCACCCCGAGGAGGAAGCAGAGAGAGAGACGCCGCCATTGTGTAAGTGTCCTGAAGTTTGCTTATCGACATCGGTCTAAATCTGGAGCATCTGGCTACCTACAGGCTCCAGATCGATTCTGCAACTTCAATTATTTACGGACACCACGTTCGGCAGGGAAGAGAAGTATCCTTTAATGATTTTACAGGTTTTAAAATTGAATTAGGTTATTCCCCTGACGTGACGATGCGAGGCAACAAATCACTTGACGTAAGTGGACTACAGGTCGCCAAATCCATTTAGAATTTAGTATTAAATTAATTCTAGGGTTTTGGAGTGGAATTTACATAATATTTATATTTCATCTGGATGCTGTTGTTGTTGTTGTTAAAGATTTGCTACCTAGAACAAAAAGTTCCAAGTAGCACGGGCTATGGTGAGCCCCGTGTAGTGCCGGCGTATGCGAGACATCAACGTCTACCTAATTCACCATTACATATTAATAGAATCTTTAGAATTTAATTGCATTTAATCATAGAGACCAATAAGCCACTAATTCTCTCAGTCAGAAGAATATTCTGGTCCTTCGAGCATATTAGAATTGTACATTATTTTATTAGCATATAATCTAAGAGCCAGATTTCCCCACAAGGAAAATCCCCCCCAACCCAAACCCTAAATTACAGGTAAATTTCCCTACTGGAAGTACCAGGTAAAATACTGGGAAAAGATAGATTAACCAGAGACTTGTGAAGTATCAGGAAGAGGAAGGGAAGTATAACACCAGACAACATGGGTATAACACCCACTGAGGGCCCCATGCTGCTGGAGCCCTCATCTAACACCATATAACACCAGACAACATGGGTATAACACCCACTGAGGGCCCCATGCTGCTGGAGCCCTCATCTAACACCATATAACACCAGACAACATGGGTATAACACCCACTGAGGCCCCATGTTGCTGGAGCCCTCATATACCACAATATAACACCAGACAACATGGGTATAACACCCACTGAGGGCCCCATGCTGCTGGAGCCCTCATATACCACCATATAACACCAGACAACATGGATATAACACCCACTGAGGGCCCCATGCTGCTGGAGCCCTCATATACCACCATATAACACCAGACAACATGGGTATAACACCCACTGAGGCCCCATGCTGCTGGAGCCCTCATATACCACCATATAACACCAGACAACATGGGTATAACACCCACTGAGGGCCCCATGCTGCTGGAGCCCTCATCTAACACCATATAACACCAGACAACATGGGTTTAACACCCACTGAGGGCCCCATGCTGCTGGAGCCCTCATATACCACCATATAACACCAGACAACATGGGTATAACACCCACTGAGGGCCCCATGCTGCTGGAGCCCTCATATACCACCATATAACCAACGCAATGTCGAGTAAAGATCAGTGTAATATAGTGCTCAGAGATGTTTCACAAGCTTGCGACAAAGTGTGGCACACAGGCCTAAAATATAAGATATCTGGGCTAGGCCTAAAATATAAGATGTCTGGGCTAGGCCTAAAATATAAGATATCTGGGCTAGGGCTTCCTGAGAGATTTACTGCTACTCTCTGCAGCTTTATAGACAGTAGAACTGCTAGGCTTAATATCGGCAGCTACTTGGGTGACGGTAATAGAACTGAAAAGTGGAGTACCACAAGGAAGCTGCCTCTCCCCCACTCTATTCAACATATATACAGCTGACCTATCCCAACCCCAACATGGAGAATACATCACCATACGCTGACGATGTCACCCAAATAATATACCAACCGGGCCCATCAAAGCCGCTACTAGCCGACAAGACCAAGGCGGCAATTGAACTCATAAACAACTTTGAGAAGCAATGGAAAATTAGCACCAACAAAAGTTTCAGATAATACACATTGCGAAAAGAAACCCGGACCCCATCATCCTTGACAACCATCCGATCCAATATGCGGAGGTAGGCAGAATACTGGGACTTATGATAAATAGAACAGGGATACAAATTCATGTAAGGGACCGACTAAACAAAGCCAAAGCAGTCTTAGGAAAACTGAGAAGATTCCGAAGCCTCAGTACTAACATTCAGATCCACCTATATAAGGCTCTAGTTGGGCCGCATCTAGAGTATCCCCCAGTACCACTACACACCATAAAGGAAACTAACATGCAGAAACTGCAAGCAGTACAAAATAAGGCGCTAAGGAGAGCAGCAAAACACCGTCCACCATATGCAGGCGATGAGTCACAATAACGTGGCTGAAGTATGTTGACCAGACCACACACTAGAAGTTGAAGGGACGACGACGTTTCGGCCCGTCCTGGACCATTCTCAATCGACTTGAGAATGGTCCAGGACGGACCGAAACGTCGTCGTCCCTTCAACTTGTAGTGTGTGGTCTGGTCAACACCGTCCACCATATGATCAGCCAATCAGATCACAGGGGATATTCACGAGGTATATATCAAAATATATATATATATAAATATATATATATATATATCTCTATATTTTGATATATATATCACAACATAATATGACTCGGAACAATGAATAAATGGGATAAGTTTAGATTTTGGAAAGACCTGGGTAAATACTGGTTCAGTAACAAGGTTGCCGATTTGTGGAACCAATTACCGAGTAATATAATAAACGTAGCTTGCGGTTACCTTAGGTTGATTATGGGGGGCTACGTCCCCGCGGCCCGGTCTCCGACCAGGCCTCCTGGTTGCTGGACTGGTCAACCAGGCTGTTGGACGCGGCTGCTCGCAACCTGACGTATGAGTCACAGCCTGATTGATCAGGTATCCTTTGGAGGTGTTTATCCAGTTCTCTCTTGAACACTGTGAGGGGTCGGCCAGTTATGTCCCTTATGTGTAGTGGAAGCGTGTTGAACAGTCTCGGGCCTCTGATGTTGATAGTTC